TATAGTATACCCCAAAAACCCTATTCGAATCATGAAGGCCCCTATATTATTGTGGGGCGTTCCTTATTACAAATATTGCATAGTGGACCCCAGAACCCTCTTCTAATTATCAAGGCCGTTATATTACTTTGGGGGTTCCTTATTATAATTACAGCATTATGGACCCCAGAACCCTCTTCTAATTATTCAGGCCCCTATAGTACTTTTGGGGTTCCTTATGTTAATTAATGTATAATGGACCCCAGAACCCTCTTCTAACCATTAGACCCCCTAAACTAAACCCTTATAGTAGCCCTTGTGGAGCCCGTTTAAGGAACCCTTAAAAGGGCCCCCCCAACACACAGAAAGCAGGGTTTAGGGTTTAGGGAAAAAGACTCTTCTAATTATTAAGGCCCCTACGTTAAGCCATGTTCATCCCCAAGGTTGCCAAGGGCTTAGGGGTTTGGGGTCTAGGATTTCAGGGGCACGTATGCTCATATAGTTTACCTGTAGCCAGAAAGACCCACCTTTTTAGGGTTCCTTATTATTCTACATAGAGTTCCTTAAACAGGTAGGTCTTTTCGGTTACAGGTAGGCTTCAGGATTTGTACCGTTCGCAGATTTTTCGGAGCTCAGGTTTAGGAGTTAGGGATGTCTGCACCCTGAACTTACGCACCAGACCTTACACCACACCCAGGCCCTCCTGTGAACATCCCACACCCCAAGGCCCACTCGAAAATCCCGACCGTCGAGAAATCCCAAAGTCGTTTGACTTCAAATGTCCGCATGACGAACGATATGATGGTCAGGGGTTTTAGGCAAAGGCTTCAGGACTCATGACGGCAACTTAACGTCGACCGAGTCAAAACCACACAGTGCAAGATAGGCCTACGCTGCACATCCGCTTCGGGAAAGCACTGCGACAAGCTGCGCACGAAAGAACACAGGGCACTTACAAAGCCAGAAGCTCTGGCGGGAAGACTGCCTATAGTCTCCAAGGAAACAGAGAGCGTAGACCTTTCTACCCGACGAGCCCTAAACCCCGAGTTCTAGGGTTTCAGGATTTTGCGAGCGAGGTGGCAAGATTTAGGGTGTGGGAGCAGAGTTTAGGACTTTGGGCTTTGGGGTTTAGGCTAAGCCCCCAAGGGTCCATGTACCTGAATAGTATATACTTTGGTCTTGAAGTAGTCTCTAGCTGGGTACTTTGGAGCCAAAGTATCTCTTATTTAGGTACATGGACCCTTCGGGAGCCCTAAACCCTAAACCCTACTCCCCAAACCCCTCTTACCCTCATCCCCAGACCCTAAACCCTAAGCCTTAATCCCTAAACCCTAAACCCTAATCCCTAATCCCTAAACCCTAAACCCTAAACCCTAAACCCTAAACCCTAATCTCTGGAAAAGCGCCCTTAAAAATAAAAAACTAATCCCTAAACCCTGAACCCTTAACCCAAGCCCCGTGAGCCTCAAGTCCAAAGAGGTCGTCAAGGTGCCTCTGCAGCATTCGGCAGATTCTGAACTGCTCCGGTTTAGGGGTTTAGGGTTTAGGGGTTTAGGGTTTAGGGTTTAGGGCTTAGGGGTTTAGGCTTTAGGGTGATTCTGGTTTCCAGAAGCTCGTGAAGCACGGCCGTTTCAGGGCCGAGGGAAGGCACTGCCACAGGTCTTGTTGGTCTAGTAGTTAAAGAAGCAAGCGGTGTGTGCGAGTATGCTGGGTAAACATACTGCTGCCTCCATTCATATTAACTCCTTTTGTGCTGTTGCTGCCTATGTTTCCGCTGGCATTGTTCCTGAGAGTGCTAGTCTGTGTTGATAGCGTTCGGTCCGGTTTTCCGCATATGGGACTTGGGGTTTCGAGTTTCGGGCTCAGGGTTTTCATAGTTTAGACACTTCAGGCAACCCTACTTGAGGGCTCATGGGTGACCATTCCTTACATAAGTCGCTTAAGCGGTAATATGGGTGCCTTAAAAATTACCTACTTCATTATTCTGGGGGTTCCTTGTTATTGCTATTAGTAGAATAAACCCCCCCAAGACCCCATTCTAATTTTTAAGGCCCCTACAGCAGGTGCTTTTGGGCCCAGGTGGACCCTAAAACCCAACAACGGAGGCAGGCTTTCTGGGTTTGAGAGCTGCGGAGCTGCAGGGGTTCATGCTCCGGAGATTTCAGGTTTACAGGTTTAGGGTTGAGGGTTTAGGGTTTGGGGATTTTAGGGGGGGAAGGGTTTAGGGGTTTAGGGGTTTAGGGCAGGTTGCGTTTAAGTGGGCTTCTGAAGGCCTTCAGCGCCTGTGAGAGTCTTTAGATGCGCTGGACAGGTTCTTACTGGTGTTAAAAAGGGTTCCTTTCTGGGGCTCCTTGGAGCCTTAAGGCGAAACCATATGGGAACCTTCAAAGAATTTCTACGGGCAGGGTTTTTCTCCCACAAGCGGTTCTCCCTGCATTGTCCCTGGTAACCTTCAAAGAAGCCCTTGGATTTGAGGGGTTCCGTCAAGGGTTCGTTTATGGTTTCCGGACTAAGATCTCAGGGGTATACAGAATACAGGGGCCTAGATAATTACCTATAACCCTAAATCCTAAACCCTAAACCCTAAACCCTAAACCCTAACCTATACTATTTTGGGGGGCTCCTTATTACAAGTATAGTACAAGATACCCCTAAAGCCCGATTCTAATCATTTCGGCCCCATATAAGCCAAACCCCTACAGTACCCTTACAGTATCCCTTAAAGAGAGCCTTTAAAGGAGCCCAAAACCATGTTAGCAAGGTTTTTGCAATAATGACAGGTTTTGGTGGTTTTGGTTTAAGTCAGACCTGGGCTTCGTCTCGTTCGTTGCCGAAAGAACAGCTCTAGGGCTTAGTCTAAGACGAAGGGGCCATCAGGCTTTATAATTCATAGGATTGGTGGCATAGGGTTTGAGATTTATAGAGTGTTTGGCTTTCCGATTCTGCTTGAAGGAAAAGTTTGCACTGCAACGTCATCCTAGTCCTAAATCTTCTCTCTGGAAGCCTGAGTAGTTACTTACATTTTCGTTAGGGCTCCTGTCTATAATTGTGCTGTACTCTGATTATTCAGGCCCCTATGTTTGCTCAACCAAAGGTTTTGGGGCTTAGGGCCAACAAAAAATGCCAGGCCCCTTTCTTAGATCCCCGAGTGCAGCACGAGCTTGTGTGCTGGAAGCCCGCAGCGCTACCCCGTAGCACCCTGTCCCAGCAGACCTCACTGACCGCCGAAGCTGTCGTCATTCGGCTACAAAAGCCCTGCACCTTACTTACAGACCCTAAACCCTAAACCCTAAAACCGAGACCCTAACTCTAACGGAAGCTCTACACCTTATACCCTACACCCTTAACCCTCATTCCCCAGGCCAAACCAAAGGATCCACCCACATACCATCAAACTCTGAACCCCAAAAGCCCTTACCCTGAGGGTCCAAAGGACCAATACTAAGGTACTTTTAATCACAAGTAGTAGCCATCTAAACATTTGGGAGAGTATATGATTAATAGGTAGTTGGACCCGTAGGGTCCAAGACCCATAAACCCTAGCCCTAAACCCAAAAACCCTAAACCCTAAAGCCCTAAACCCTAAACGCTAAACCCTAAAACCCTAGAACCCTAAAC